AGTTTTGATTTTTGGGGAACTTCTATATGTAATACATTTTGATGGCTGTAAAACTGAATGACAAATAGATACAAAAAGGGGGGAAAGAGGACAGGATGAGGAGAGGGCCTCAGATGGTTCTCGTAATGAAGATGACATGGAAAAATGTTTGAATGAATACACAGAACTGATGGATAGGCAGACAATACAGAGGAGGATGAAACTCCAAGTTTAGGTGTCAGAAGTTGCTTTTAAAACTCTGTTCTGTGCGATGAAGACCAGCATCCCCTCCATTTGTATCTTTATGAGGGGTGTGTAGGAGAGAACACACCCCTCATAAAGAAAGAAAATACAAACTCTGCAATGTTGCCAGCTGCATCTGCATAATTCTCTCATTTTGATGATGCATTTCATACGCAATCCAAACCGTATTGACCTGCATTTTTTGTATATGCAATGTTGGTTGCAAAATGAATTAAGTGTGGGCGAGCGGCGCATAACGCGGGCGTCAATAACACCGTCGGGCAACTTACAAATGGTGTAATTATCTCCTCATCAGGTTATTAGAGGATCAATCGAGCCTGGTGGCCTGATGGCAGAGGTGAGCTGATGAGGGATGGAAAATGGTTATGACGACTGAAGCAGCAGATCTCAGAGAGAGGGGTGTTTACTCATGTAAAATGATGCAATCAAAATGATGTGAAGAAATTCAGGAAAACTAAGAAAGCCAGAAGTGTCGTTTATGCATTAGTGCGTGGGTAGAGAAGGAAAAATGTACCCAAGAATAATAATAACAAAATAGACTCACAAATTACCCAAATGAGTCTAACTAAAGAAGTCACAAAATAAGCTATTTGTCTTCTTAAATAACACGTTATGAGCATCTACTGGTTTGTCTGGTTAAGTTTAAGGATGTAAAATAACTTGTGCAATAGTTTTCCTTCCTCCCAGTCTGCATGCCAAGTTTTCCCAAGCAAACCAGTTTTACAGAATGAAAAGCAAAACCCTCCACAGTGAGTTAAAGTAAATCAACCCTCTTAATGCAATTTCAAACATGATGAAGGGTTATGGACTCCAGGTCTGTCAGTTGGTCTGACCACAAAACAGAAAACAGCTGACTTCTGGGTCAAGTGAGGACAGCTGGCATCAACCAAAATCTAATTTACACACTTTTATATAATGTGTTTTTTCCTGTTAATCTCATTGTAGTTGACTGTTGTATTCACCAGCAACACTTTATCCAGAATCTGTTTTTCCTATCGGTCTAATGGATTTATTATGCCAGCTCCTGTGTTCATTTTTTTTCCTCCGAAGCACTTACTATATTCAATTCAATTCAGTGTTATTTATATAGCACCATATAGCAGTCATGTCAAAGCAATCATTTTGTACTGTAACATAAGGGCCCAACAACATCAGAAAAAAAGCTCCAATGACCAGAACTAGCCCACGAGTCTGGTCAATCTGACCAGAAAAAGGTAAAGGTAAAACCAAACAAACCCCACAAAATCAAGAAGAGGCCTTGTTATAGTAAGGAATCTCAATTCAAGTGACACACTTATGTAGTATAAC